CGGCGTCGACGTCGACTGCAGCAGCAGCAGCAGCAGCAGTCGACCAAGCGAGCGAGCAAAACTGAAATTCATCGATTCGATGATGATGTTGTCTCTACACTGGCAACACAGACATGCACACAGGTAGCAGACCATATACATTTGTCCCTGCGCCTGCGCCTGTTGCGCTGCCAGTGTGTGTGTGTGCGTGTTTGTCTTTGTATGTTTGTGTGTGCACCTGCATAGCTCTAGAGCCGCGTTTCCCAGGTACGCATTTAATAGCTTGTGCAATAACAAATGACTCAGGCAACGAACTTGCTCGCATTAGCTGGTTTGAAACTTGACTAAAAGAATATTTACAGGTGCGCATTCAGAGTATTTTGCCAGCTGACGTCCCAGAATACAGTTGAGTTGAACGCGCAGCGCCTATCTGCTGATCCGGCCCTGTAGTTTTTGCGCTTTTGTAGCTTTCAGGTTCATTTTGTGGCTTGCATTCATTTTCGAACTTTCAAACATTCGAACATGCTGTGCCTTGTTTTTTTTTGTTTTGCTTGTTGCCTTTGTTGCGGCTGCGCTGCTGCTGCTGTTGCTGTTGGTCTTGCTGTTGCTGCTGCAGCGCCAGCGCACATTGTGAAAGTGGTAGTGCAGTTGGGCACCAGGTAGAGGCCAACTCAGATAGTTACCAACAGTGACAGAGAGAGACAGAGAGAGAGAGGGAAACATAGAAGGAGAGAGACTCACACACACACACACTCACTCACACATGCGCACTTAAAATAGTCATGCATATAGCACAAATGAATGCCATGTAGCCGACGGCACAGACTCCGACGCCGCCTTACGACAACAGCAACAAGAGCAACAGAGGTGACGGCTGCGTCGATAGCGTCGGCAGCAGAAAAATCAACGCTTTGTCGTGTGGACGGAGCCGACTGTTTGCTCAGTGTGCTTTTTGCCGTGTTTTCTGCTAGTCAGCATACAGGGTGCTTCGCTTGAGGCCGTTCGATGTTGCATTCACTTTAACATTCTTTAGACATTCTGCATGATTGATGAAAATTGAAAAGAAATTTTAATATAATAATCATAAAAATATATAATATAATTAAAATATATCTTAAAAAATAAAAAGGAAGTTTTATATTTTAAATTTAATTTTTCATATTTAAAAGTAAATAACATTTAGCTAAGTTTTATTTATTTGTTTAATTTATTAAATATAAAAGAATATTTTATGCCATTACACAAATGAAAAGAAATACAAATTTTAATTTTAAAACAAACAAAAAATTTAAAAAATTCCAAACAAATATTTTTTTGCATTTTCATTAAATTTCAGTTTTTATTTTCATGTTGTTTATTGTTGCAATATATTAAATTTGTTGTTGTTGTTGTTTTTTTTTTTTAATCTAAATGTATGCTTAGTTTAAACATGGTTTTGTATTCTTTTCTTTTTTTTCATTCTTTTTTTTTAATTTCTGTATGCCTTTTTTTAATAATAAATTTAATTTTTTTGTTGTTTTTAACTGGTCGAAACTTTTTACTAATACTTTGTTTTTGTTTTTTTTGCGATTACATTTACATTTATGTATTTCATATACAATTATATAGTATATATTTATATATATGTAAGTATATGTATGTGTGTATATGTGTGTGCGTGTCCGTGTGTGTGTTCGCACGTTTATATTTGAGAAATTAAAAGCAAATCTATTATTAATCTATTTTCACTCATAGAAAAAATGTATAATGTAATTTTTATAATTTGGTATTTGTCAACAAAGCATAGAAAATGAGATATTTGTTTAGGAAATCGATAACATTTCGATGTTCATCGATAGACCTACGCTAATGCAAATAGGTTGTCGAATTTTCAATTCCATGTCGCAGCCTGAGTGATGTAAATTCAATGAGCTTTTGGGTTTACATAAGGTCTACAGTTAGTTGGTATTTTCTATGGTATTTTCTCGGTATTTTCGTATTATCGTCTAGTGTGCGAATTGAATTGCAGCTAAGAGGACTAAAGGCAACTGGATTTAGGTAAGGTATACAAAAGGAAAATACCGCTCTGTGTGTATGTGTGTAAGTGTGTGTGTTTATGTGTATTTGGCTATTTAATACATATTTAAAACTAGACACACCAACTAGCTAATAGCTACTTAAAACATTCTCTGTATTTCAACTGAGGTAACACATTTTTAACTTTAAGTACGAAACATTTCTTTTTTTTTTTATTGTTTTGTTTATGTTTTGTGCTTTAAAATGCTGTGCCCCGAACTACGTTCATGTAATTCGTCGTTTCAGTTGTTAAAACTCATGTTAACTTTTGCTTATGATTTTTTGTATTTATTGATTTGTTTATTTTAAATTTTAAATTGTTTTATTTGTTCTAATTAATTCGACAACGTTTGCTAAAAATTTAAATATAATATATAATAATAATTTTTAGTTGCTTATTTGTTTTCAGTTTGAACGCCTTGAACACCTTGCAGAGTTGTTTAAGTAAAATTTAATAGCACTAAAAGAATTTTAGGAGAAGACTAAGCACATTTGAAGCTTAATTCTTTTTTTTTTAGTTTAAATTCAGCAAATTTAAAAACATTCGTAAACATTTTCAAAAAAACTTCAACATTAGTAAATTTAAGGATTATGTGTTTTAAAAATATACATTTGGACAATAAAGTCTTTTTTTTTTTAAATTTCTGGTAAGGCTTCTAGACATCAAATGAAAAATATAAAATTTAACTAATTTATTATTTCGTTACATGCTTATAAATCATAAAGCTAAGGAAGTTTTTTTTTCTAAAGTAAAATTAAGTCTAGGTATGTAATTGTTTAAAAACTAAATAAAATTAGGAATTAATTAATAGTAATTATTTTATAAAAATATTAAGCAAATAATTTTTAAATCAAAAGCTTTTTTTGTAATATTTCGAAATGCTTTTGCATATTGTGCAACACTGATAATAGTGTTGATGGTCATACATAAAAATAAATGATAATCGCTCATGGTTAATTTAAAAAAAAATAAAAAATAAAATAAAAACCTATTTAATATTAATTTTATAATTTGTATTTATTTATTTTTAAATTTTTTAAATTTTGATTGAATTTGCTTCATTAAATTAATAATTTTGACGTTGAAATATGTGAAGCATTGCCAAATCTTATGTAAACAAACTCTGCAAAATATATTTAAGCTTCGGCTATGCCAAAAAATTCATATTTATACACGTTCATTAAGTGAAAAAGGGGTATATTGGTTTCTATGCAAGGTCCCCTATTGATGTAGGCTCGACTGTATCTAGCAGGCACGCAACGCTAAGGTCTTGAAAAACCTATAGACTCTAGTATCTTCTAATATGAGCCTCAAATTCTTCGTATAGTAGCATTCAAGCTGGACACTCTTTGATTGAAATTAAAGATCTGAAATCCCTAGACTTTCAAAATGTAGCAAAGATATTATTGTTCAACTTCTCTATAAGAGATATATCTCACAGACTCATTAGAAAGAAGGCGTGGCAAATCGATAAGTGAAACTATATATCTACCAGAGTTTTCTGAACCAAAGTCCCTAACATTTTAGTATACAACCATCAGTTCGAGGCAGATCGGATTGCATCGAGATCTTATCCAAGCCGTGAACAAGTATTCTGCAGTCGATAACAGCCGATTGCAGTGTTCTCTCCTCTCATGCTAATACTGAAGTATGTTGAATGCAAGAAAAACTAACGCGCTGCAGCGTGTGAATTTTTGGGGTATGTTCGTTTGACGTGGGGCAAATGCATGGCTGAAGGGGCGGGGCAGAGGTGAGTTTTGCTGTATTTGTAGTATCATCTTGATAAGCCCAGTTCGCAGTTGCCTGTGTGCATGTGTATGTGTGTGTGCGTGTGTGTGTGTGCGGATAGTAAACGCAACTGCTTTGTATGTGATACATATACATATATATATATACATATATAATATATATATATGATATATCTCTTGCGGAGTTGGCAGTGATATTGCGAAACGTTTTTACTTTTCCTTTTTACTTTTTTGTTGTTATTTCTCTTAAATATGTTTTGTTGTTTATGTTTTTTTTTTATCGATTTGAAATCAATGCAAATAAAATACTTAGTAAACGCGCAGAGAGTTTAGTTGCGTGCGCTTCGAGTCCGATTAGGAGACAATTTGTTAAGAACTTTTTGACGTTATCATCTTTCTTTGTTTTTCATTTAAAATAAATGTACAATAAATATGTAGTAGTATATGCTGTTATAAACATGAGACACAATTCAAATTGTCTTGATTTCGAGTTCGTATTACTATTTAAATAATATATAGATATATATATATGTATATATATTTGTAATATTATTTCCTTGTGAAAACTAACGAACTGCAATGCCATGTCACAACGTAATCGCAACTAAATTGCTATTAATTTAATTAATATTATTTAATTTTTTTTTTTCAAAGTTTTTTGTTGTATCTCTTTTTTTTTTTTTATTTACAGAATGCTTCGATGTTGCTAGTCATATATATAAATATATATATGTGATTTGTTTTTTATATGATCTAAAATGTTTTTCAAGACTAATTAAGTTACAAGTATAAATGTTAAGTATAATACGTTTTTTAAAAATGTTTGCTTATATTTTTTGGTTTCTTTGGTTTTTCTCATTTTTGTTTTGGTTTTTGGAAAAGTATTTGCGTTAAAGTTGTTTGTTTTGGTTTCAATTTGATTAATACGTCTTAGTATAAACAATTATTACAATATAATGCTAATTGTTTCGCAATCTGTTTAGACTGGATACCAGACTGGGCCAGACAATACAAACTAATATACATTATACAAATATTTGTAACTTATATCTGTTTCTTAAAGTTTCTCCCTAGAAATGCCTGCTGTATATGCTATATATATATATATATAGTTGGTATTATCTAACCCGTTGCCCGTTTTAAAGTTTAACAACTAAGTTTTCTTTTCTTTTCTTTTTATATAAATTGCCTAGTTTGGTTTTTTGTTTTTCTTTTGGTTTCTTAATTTTTTGTTAACGACTAGAACATTGTAAAGAAGGAATCGGTTTCACATAATGCATCATATATCGTCTAAGTTGGTTGTTGCGTTGCCCTATATATATGGTATCTATCCCGCTTAGAGTCAATCGTAATTGTTGCCACTGCTTGCATCGATCGTCAGCTAACTTGTATATATCTCTCTATATATACTTTGCTCTTGGAATTAGTTGTATTTATTAAGTTTTTATGACATATTGCTTCTATATATTTTCTTTTCTTCTTAAACAAAAGCTGAGCGAACGACGGCAGGACAGCGGCTACATTTGTCGCCTCGACTCTAAGGATCATCCCAAACACATAATAAAGAATACTAAAGTTAAGAGAAAGTCCGAAATCAGTTAAATAACATTCTAAGTGGGACTATCCGCCTTGGAGCCGGCATTCGAATTGTCTTGCAGTTGAGCGAGTGTCTTGTACTTTTGCGAGTTTAGGAATCTGGGAAGAAAATCGATATGTTTATAGAGTTCTCTTAGATCTCTTTATATGGAATATAGGTAATCTTACCTGGGATATGAGTCTCTGTGCATCAGCGTATAGATTTGTATTTGAGCTTCGTCAAAGGTGCGAGTCGTCGGCTCTATCATATTCCGATTGACAATCTCCCGAACTCGCGAATCGAGCGACACCTCACGCGGCGATAGTATCGATATATAGTCCTCATATATCAGGCGCGCCTTCTCCTCCACCACCTCGGGACTGTTCTCCTTCTTCAGATCCTCGCAAGCTAACCAGAACAGTATGTTCTCCTCACTAAATTCGCTCCGCAGAAAATCACGAAACACTTTGCGACCATCTGGAAAATATTTCCATTATCCAGGTATACTTATATGCATATATTTGTAACTTACTTGAATTCGTCATTAGTTTATCAAAGCTTTTACCCCAACTACGTATTTCTTCTAATGTGGGTCTGCAATTAAATTAAATTAAAGCTATAAATTTGATACATATTGAGATAGGACTTACTGATCGCCATCTAGGAATTCGGCGCTAACGAGATCACGTTTGGTGGGCGCATTTTCATCCGCATTCTTGATGGCAAGACTGTAAAAACCGAAAGGAAAATTAGCCATTTATGATAATAATAGTGAGATTAATTGTGAATGAGAATTAAAGTAGACTTGACATATTAACTCTATACTTCCTATACAAATCTACTTAAATAGTAGTTATATTGTCTCATTTAATTTAATTTAAAAATAAAATTAATTTGTTGACTATTGTTTTTTAGACTTCTGATATGATATGGTAGGTGACTAGAATAGATGACTTGTATATCTATTCCAAGCTGAAAGTCATATTACCTTATCAAATCGTTTCTCTAGAAACCAAAAAACGTTTGACTAAAGTCCTAAATCACCTTCATACGTATACATACATACAATATTCAACTATATAGTTATTAGCAAATATGTTTAGATTTTTCCATAATCAATACCTATAGATTATCTACTATTATTCAGTATGACTTTTTAAATGGTATTTTTTAAGTATGCTCATATCCCATACGTACAGCCAACGCTTCGTTAAGCCAAACATTGTATGTTTTTCTTTCTGCTGCATTTAAAGCTTTTTCGTGTACAACTTTGAATCAGCTTAGAGCTTTTACTTAGTGTAACTGCGTTAAGGATCACCGATATGTGCAAGCTTTTGGCTACTTGAGAAACAGCTGTTGCGAGTTACTTTAACGGTTTGGCTTTTTCTGACTTTCGTTGACTCTGCTATAATTTGTTGTTGCCAGCACAGTGGTTAACTGTAAACTGGCCACACGTTATCTACGATTAGATTTGGCTGCCTCATATCAGGTAAGCATTACAAGCACCCTCTCTACGTAGGAACTCATCAAAGTTCGTTATCTGTTTACCGCGCTTGGACAGCTTGCCAATATAACATAGATACGTACGTCCATATGTATTACTCTATGTGTGTGTGCGTGTGCTTGTGTGCTCTTGTGCGTGTGCGTGTAAGTACTTCGTATGATTAAATGCGTATAGATGGACAATAGCTAAGCATATAAAAGCGCGGGAGATGTGCCCACCTAACCAGAGAACGGAACAGCTTTCATTTTCATTCACGAAAACTTGCAACATTTTTGCAAAAACAACAACAATAGCAACATCATTAGAAACAGCTTGCCGTCATTTGTGTATGACTGTGATTTTTGAAAAATACTCTGCTCAGAGCTTTTGGCGCTCCCGCGAATTGTGAATGAAACATTTGTGTCATTTGCCTAGAGTGGAAGTGAGAGTGAAAGAGCATCAGCTGAAGAGAGTGCTTTTACTATTCGCCTAGCAAACAGAGCATTGCCAGCTGCAAATAATGATGAGAGCAGGCAGGCGATGCCCCTGACTGCGTGGGATTCACTGTGTGCGTGTGTTTTTCAGTAGGTGTATGCGTATGTGTGTGAGAGTGTATATGTGTTTAGGTAGGAACTTACCACTTAGCCCTGTTGTTGTGGTTGGACGACCCGTGGAGCAGCGGCAATGAAATAGATTCCGTTGAAATATATATACATACATATATATTGTGTGTGTGTGTATGTTACCTACATATTGTAGGAAACGGTTAAAGTGTGGATTATACTCACCAGGAGCAGGAACAACAACAGCACCAACAAAAGCAGCACGGCTTCTGTGTTTGCGGCCGCTGCAGCGGCGCATTTGATTCCTGCAGCACATTCGATGTGGCGCTCACGCTGCCCTGCAGCGTTGTGCTGGTGCCCGTTGTGCCGCCGTTACCTCCAACGCCCGCTGCGGTACTGCCAGCTCCAACTCCGACGCTCTCCTTGCTGCCGTTCCCGTTGCCATTGTTGGCCGCGGCCGCGGCCGCAGCTGCAGCTGCGCTTTGTGAGGATGCATTCATGCCGCGCAAGCGACAGCCGCTGGGCATTTCGGAGACGGTGCAGGACATACTGGACAAAATATACAAATTGGAGTTGATATCTTTCAATCATCCACACACACACCCACACATGGCACACTTACCTGCCCTTTGCGATTTACAGTTGATGTTGGTGTTTGGCGTTTGGCGTTGGCGTAGCTGCCACAGCTGCCGCTGCCGCTGGCGCTGGCGCTGCTGCTAGGCTGCCGCCCACTGCCACTGACCTACCTACAGTCCGTCTCGTTCTGCCTCTCCCACACACACATACACATACACGCTCGCAGAACAGTTGGGCTGCGCGTTGGCGTTGGGCGCCCTTTATACAGTGACAGTGAGAGCGTGTGGAAGAGAGTGAGAGAGGGAGTGAGAGTCCAGAGAGCAAGTTACGTATTTATGTTTTTGCTAATAACTTTTTATCGAGTGCTTTTGCTTGTGCTTTGGCTCTCGCGCCTGGCACGCTCTTGATTTTATTGCTGCTGCTTTGGCTGTTGTTTTTGTTTTTGTAGCTGTTGTCTTGTTGTGGTTGTTGTTGCTCTCCGAATTATTCTGTTTTTTTTTCTTGTATTTTAGTTTTTACATGAATATGCAGAGAAATATTTGGTTCTGCCTTTCGGGTGCTGCTTCTATTCCTTTGATTTTTTTATCTGACCAGGCGAAGAAGTTGGCAAAGGGAGGATGAAAGAGAAGCACATAAAACAGTTAGAATATTTATTTACTATTATTATTATTCTTATTATTATGATTTAGTATGTTGTGCAGCTCTTGACATGTCCGTTGTTGCGCGCTCTGGCTTTCGTGCGTGGGCAGGTGCTACAGATGGCACGGGTACGGGCTGCGTAGAAGGGGGAGCGACTAAAGGGGGCACTGTTGGTGGGTGTACTAGTTTATTGTCTTCTAGTTCTTGTTGTTATTGCTGTTCGCATTTACAGCGAAATTAGTTTGTAATTAGGAGCAATTGAAACGGGAATTTTATATCATGTGTTATGAAATTCTTTTTATTTTTATTTGATTTCTCTTTTAGTATTTTCTTAGCTCCAGCGAGCAGCTGGAGATTTATTTGGAATTTTTTTTTGTTATATTTATTTCTTGTGCTAGTCATTACACACACTCACACAGACACATGGCACACGATGGCGGCAGCGAGGTCGCCTGACCGTTATTTTCTTCAATATTTATGTATGCGTGCGTACATACGTATGTACATATGTATGTATATGTAAGTACATATATATTTTTTTGATTTTCGTTATGGCTTGCGTTGGTTGGGGCTGATGGGGCGTATGCGTGATTAGCTAGCCTGGCTGCTGCTGCTGTGTTGCCTGTTATTATTTTTGTTGTTGTTTGTTGTGCGTTGTGGCAGCTGCAGAGGGCAGAGCTGTTAATTGCACTTGATGCTGCTGCTTGTTTCTTAGCATTTAGCACACATACACACACACACATTCAGAGGGCAGCCGTTACATTTGCTAAAATATATATTGAACATTTTTCAATCGTGTGCGCTTCCGCTCACATTTATACAAACACATTCGCACACACTCTCACTCACACACACTCACACTGACATACACTTTGATTTGATTTTGTTTTAGTTTGTGTGTCTGCTCAATGTATTTAGGAGCAACGAATATATACAATTTCTTTTCTATTTTATTTTATTTTATTTTTTTTTTTTGCCACACTAAAAATATGTGTAGGTATTTTTCTTCTTTCTTTCTTTTTGCTCTGAATGATTTTGCTTTGATTCAACTTCTACACAGAGAAAGAGAGCCAAGGAGAGAGAACGCGAGCTATATCCAAGGGAGTGGAAGGGGAACGGGCGAGAGGGCGCGAGGCTTCAGGAGTAAGCGAGAGAGTATGAGCAAGTAGTGCAATTTAGCTAGACACTCGTTATACTTGATGATTACATTCGTTAAATTGTTGGATTCTCATATTCCAATACTTTTCACATTTTTGGCATTTTTTTTATAGCTCCACAGTTGCCATATTTTATTTGTATTTATTTATCATTTTCATTTTATTTTAATTTTTTTGGGGAGGGGGAGGGAGGGCTTTGGCTTTACCACATTATTGCCATTTCATTTTCACTGCTGCGCTTTTTTCTATACGTGTATGAATTTCTTTGCTATTTTTTTGGTTCTTTTATTTCGTATTTGTGTATGTGTGTGCGCGCTCTGATAGCCAAAACCCAAAATCCTCGACGACAACGACCGACGACGACGGCACGAGCACAAGTGCAAACGTTTCTCTTCACATGGGCAAAGGCTAGCGACTGACTGCTGATTGAAGGAAAAGCTTTCAAATAGCTATACAGTTGCTGTTGTCGGGTGGCGGAGCCGAAAGCGAGGCGATTAGATTCCTGGTACACATCGCGACATGTGCGCGCGAACGCTTTCAACCAAAAGAGAATAGGCGAAAAGCTTTTGCTCTCATTTACGCTCTCTCTCTCTCGCGCTCACGGGCTCCCACTCACTTCACACTGTACTGGAATTCGGTTGGGATTTGTGCTTTCGGGCATTGATGTTGCCGATGCTGCTTGAATTGAGCATACGAAAAAAAGAACTGTAAATGTATTGATGAACAGCAGTCCGTTGTTGTTGTTGCTAGTTCGTAATTTTACGCTCTTTTACGTTCCGCTCTTTCTCTCTGGTTAAACGACCCCCGGGGAGCAGGCGCCGAACAGTGATTGTTCGTTGGGTGGCTATGCTGACCCAGGGTTGTATTCAAGCTTTTACAAGCAGGACCCACACACCCACACGCAAGACACACACGCACCCAATGTGATTCAATTGGATATATTGTTTACTACCATTCATATTACAAATTGAGCGCTTAAAATACTAAAGATGCAACACGCTGCATGCTTTATGTGTAGAGTCGGATTGTGCAATCGGCGCCCGTGGAGAACACCCAAGGCTGCACCGGATGCCAGGTTACATCTAGGACGCCAAACTCGTCGCGTTTCTCGTGCGTCTGCAGCTTCTTTAGCGGCACTATCAATGGATTTTGAAGCAGATCACTAAAAGAGAAAAAGAGAGCATAAGCATGGCATACTTAAAGGAGCACCGACTTAAAACTCACTTATAAACCATGCCATGGGACACAATGACCGCCTGGTCATCGCTGCCGGAGGCAAACAGAGGATAGCGCAAGTGGAAGGCCACGCTGCGCACGGCATTGCGATGCAGACGCATTGTCTGATACGGTTTAGTGGATAGATCCAGATCGAACCAGAGCATCTTCTTGTCATAGGTGGAAACTAGCAGATTGTCACCTTTGGGATGTATGGACATGCCCGATATCCACTTGGAGTTGGTTAACAGCTTCTTGATCAGCTCCTGCTTTACCAAATCATAGATGCGAATGTTATGCTGAGTCTGTAAAGGAAAGGAATGAGATGCAGTGGGATGGAACGATATGGAGGAAATACACTTACTGCCACGAAGAAACAGGGCTTAACTGGATGGAAGAGCACGCATTGTATCAGGCCCTTGCTCTTGGAGAAAGGTATTTGTGAGCGTCGCTTCGAGAGCTGATGTATGAGAGCTGAGCGATTGGCGCCCTCGGGCATTACGGTGGCCAGATAATCACCGCGACCATGCCAGGTCACCTGACGTATGGGCTTGAAGTGTGTTATGACCACACGCACGCCCTTCTCCTGCTCCTCGGGCTCCGCATTGGACCATTGCACCGCTGTCTTAATGCGCTCACTCTCAATGATATCCAGATTGGGCGATTCGGCCAGCAGATCGTCTGTTTTTTTAATCAGCAGCTTGTCGCCCACCTTGGGATTGATTAGGAGCAAGCGACTGCCCGTGGCCACAGCAATAATGGATAACTTGGCATTGGGACACCAGGCAACGCAGCGGACCACATCGTTAGTCTCGATGGTGCGAATGCAACGCCCAGTGGCAATTTCCCAAACTGTAATAACAGAAATAAATAATAATAGAAAGCGATATGGCAGTAGTTACAGATGATTCACTTACTCTTGACTGTCTTATCATCGGAGCCGGAAACCAAATACTCTCCCTTCGGCTCCACGCTAACGGAGCGCACCAGATCCGTGTGGCCGCGATAGACCAGACTCTCCACTGTGGGGAATGGCTGCAGATCGCGTGGCGAAGGCAGTTTGGGTATCAGATACTCAGCATCAATATTCAATTTGACACGCTTGGCACGCGGACACAAATACAGATCCAAGCAGCGTAGGAAGCGTTCGCGCAGATAGCGGGGATACGCTGGAACGGCGCGAAGGGATTTGTATTTCTGTGGCATGAAATGTAGCTTGCGCTTGTGTGGCTCATCCTTGAGCTTGAGCCACTCCTTGGTCTCCTTCTCGTCGAAGAGGTACTCGGGCGGAGGATTATACGATTCAGCATGACCGGGCAGATCACGCTTGGGCGCGGACACAGGATCGTGTATGCGACGCATATGCTCCCGTCCCGTATCTGTTTCCCACAGCATGTAGAATTTGGGACCACGTTTCTGTTGCTTCTCGCGCTCCACTTCCTCGGTGGTCTTCATCCAGCCCATTTTAAGGGCATGCACCATGCGCGAAACTTTCTTCTTTTCCGATACCGAGGGCAGGAACGATCGCTTGTGGTCCGGTACATTCTTAATGGGCATTTTCTCCACCTCCGAGGTGAACCACTCGATCCATGGAGCGTATTCATTGTGTTCTGGATTTGGTATGCGCGACGAATTGACGCGCTTTATCAGCGCTATATCCTCGTCAGTTAGCAACACTTCCTGGCCCGTCATCGGGTCCTTCACAGTGCGCCAGAAGTTCGGATCCTCGATCTTACGCAAGAAATCATCAATTTGATCGCCCTTCGGCGGTTTAATAATCTTCTTTGCATCCCAATCGTAGCCAATGTGCTTGTATTCATCATACCAGTGCATGGGTATGTTGCCCACAGTATTTCGTATATCTTCCTCATCAGAAGTGTCCGAATCCTCGTACTCAGGCTTTGAAGGATCACGTGGAATTATCTCAATGAGGGGCTCCTTTGTCTGGGCGGCAGCTGCTTTACTACTGCTTGGCTGATCGTCTTTAGGCGTTGCTGAGGCATCATCAGCATCGCTCTCCTCGCTGTCATCATCAGAGTCATCATCTTCATCCTCCTCATCCTCATCCTCATCCTCGTCTTCATCATCATCTTCACCTTCTTCCGCCTCGTTGCTGACTTTTCTGCCCAAATAGTTACCTTCTTCGTCGCTCTCAAACTCCAGATCTTCGCTGCTGTCCGACTGATATTCTTGATCTATGCCTTCATCATCTGTAGTGTCCTCTCCAGGATCTTTTACAGCTTGCAGCAGATCCTTGCCCAAAAAATCAAATATTGAAATCTTACTTTTTTATGTATACATTTTCTTGGCTTACCTCATCTTCCTCATTCTCAGACTCTTCAGAAACTGGAGCTTGTTCGTTTGTGGGCTCAGGTTCTTTAACTTTACGTTTTACTGTCCGTTTTTTAGTCATTTTTAATAGAAAACAAAACGAAACAATTTGGCGCACGTGTTGCGGCACAAACTTCGATTGCGATTGGTAAATCGATAACATAATAGGTTTCGTTTTGTGTGAATACCAAATTTACTCAATTATGCGCTCCAAGCATTTTTTTTTTTTTGTGCCCTAACATACTTTATTCTTAGACTCATCAAGCAAAATAATTACAAATTAAAATGAATGTTAAATGATTACAATTTGTAAAGACTCACAAATGTATTAATATGAACAGGTGCATATTTGTAAAGTGAAAACATGAGCCCAACAGCTGTTGTTGTTAGTATGAGAATATCATGTGTTAAAGCAGGAAAGCAATAGTGCTATATTTCACAGAGCTGCCACATCGTTCATAAGGCAATTTAATATCGAATAACTACCTAAATAACGACAGAAACGTACTAATACTACAAAAGTCTGAGGAGAATACAAATTAAATAGAGCTTGCCACAAAATATGTAAAAAAGAGTGCTTAACTAGCACACAGTTCCTCTATATAAATCGCATACAAACGGCAACAAACTATTGCATCATAGCCAAACGGAAAACAATCAGCTGCAAGTGCCATCGATTTGCAACAATTATTATAAAGTAGAAAAAATGACTGCCCCGCGACGTCTGCGCAAGGAACTCGTAGATTTGCAGGAAAGTAGTTTAAAATCGTTTCGTGACATTAAGGCCGACGATGATAATCTGCTTCGCTGGACGGGTCTGATTGTGCCCGACAATCCGCCCTACAACAAGGGCGCCTTTCGCATCGAAATCAATTTCCCGGCCGAATATCCCTTCAAGCCACCAAAGATTAGTTTCAAAACAAAAATCTACCATCCGAACATCGATGAAAAGGGTCAGGTGTGTTTGCCCATCATCAGCACGGAGAACTGGAAGCCAGCCACGCGCACCGACCAGGTGGTGCAGGCGCTAATAGCGCTCATCAACGATCCCGAGCCCGAACATCCGCTGCGCGCCGAACTGGCCGAAGAATTTCTCAAGGACAAAAAGAAGTTTGTGAAAAATGCCGAGGATTATACCAGAAAACACAGCGAAAAGCGTCCGGCTGACTAGTGCAATTAAGGCGATAGGTGAGGCGTGTCGAGGAGAGGCGCCGGCGCCGCTTTACAAAAAGCAACCAAACTGCAAACCAGGATGAGAAATGATTAAAAAAAACCGAAAACACACATACACATACACCTACACAAATACTTATACACACCAACACATGCATACACTAGCACCTACACAAACACACACATACGAAATTACCACAAATTTTTGCTTAGAAAAAAAGATGGAATGATATATATATGTGAATATATATAATAATATATGAAAATATATATATAAATGCATAAACTGCAAGAATTCAGTTTATGCCCGCTCTTGTCAAATTTGTATAAACTCGAGAAATATTTGTAGTAGAAATTAATTTGCATTAATTGTTTTTAAATACAAGAAACCAGAAAAAAGAGAACAAGTTAAAAACAAAATTTAAAACTCAGTACATCCAACGATCATTGATCATATTTTAATGTTATAAACAAAAATACATGATTAACACACGATCGTGGCAGTCTCATTTATAGCTGGCGTCGCCGCCTCCTGCGCCTGCTCCAGACTGAAGCGAGTGGGAAACGCTTCCTCGCCGAGCATACGCCGATAGCAACTGACCAGGACGGTGTTGTTGTAGAGGATTAGGGCACTGGCAAATGGATTCTTGTGCAACTGCTGCAACGGCAACAGGCTGTGCAGGGTATCCAGCCCGTCAGTCACATCCTCCCAGAGTACACGTTGTAGCTGCTGCAGCTGCTCCAGGGCTTTAGCTTCCGTGGACAGGCCACTTAACGTTATGATCTGATTTTCAAATTGGGTTTCCGCGTAGATTTGCTCCGCCAGGAGCAACAGCACAGATGCCGCATAGTGGCTGAGGAATAGAAATGACTGGAACACGATTTTCGCTGGGCGTTGCTCCACCAGTGAGTCAACCAAAGCAACAAAGAAACGTCGCTGAACTTTATAAAATGTTGACTCATCGGCCGGGCTGTCAGGTGCGTAATCAAATGCGCGCATTATGTGATTATTGCCGTCGAAAAGCGAGCATTTTGCCGCCGTTTGCCAGAGCGGATCCAGGTCGAAGGTCTGCAGAAGACGCAAACGGAGCAGCAGCACCGGCTCGGAGGCAAATAGACTGCTCAGCAGCTGTCCAATTGGAGCACCTCGACATGGTTGGAGTTGCAGCTGCTTGACATGCAGCTTGGCATGGCTGTAGCTGCGCAGGCCAGTGGGACACTTCTCCAGTTGATTGAACTCCCGGCGCAGGCAGTAGATTTGCTTCAGCAGATCGCCTTGACGCAGATTCTCCCGTTCCGTATAGGAGCCACCATAAACTGGCACCGAGAAGCCCAGGGCCTTATTGATGTCTGCCTGCTGCACGATGCACAGCTCCTCGGCTAGCGGGCGCACCTTGTAGCGATTGTAGTACATGGAGGAGACGACGCCACGCAGCTGATGGAGATGACGCAAATAGTAGCGATCCTTGGACTCGTACGCATAGATGCTGCTCTCTATGGCCTCCTCCTGCAGCTTGAGGAACAGCCGACACGCGATGTTGTGCTGCATCAGGAAATCGTTGGGTATTTGTGACTTGGCAAACAGAGGCATCACCATGGTATCGTTTGGCTTTGCGAGTCTCGCTCGCATCGCCTCCAACAGGTGCGGCAGTCCAGGCGTATCCTTCTGATAGTTCAGGCATATCACATAAACTTCCGAATTGCCCCGCTTCGATGTGGCCGGCTTAAATATGTGCACCCGCTCGAATACACAGTTGAGCATGAACATAATGGACACGCTGCATGCCTCGAAGAGCGTAAACATTTTGATAACAAAGTTTCCACTTGGACTTAAAATGTGAAGTGCGCTCAAGATCTCTGCGAACAGGAGACGCGCCACAATCTCCTCCTGGCAATCGGGCTGCGCCGAGCAATCGATGGAGCCATCGGCTGTTATCAATTGTACACCAGCTGGCAAATCCTTGGCACAGACGTCTCTCATATGCTCAATGTTCTCCACGTTGAGCAGATTCCCAGTGAAGTCCCGGTGGAAGAGCCAATTATGGAGCGTGTGAAATATAAACCGATCGTCGGTTATCATTTCATTTAACGCATTGCCCTCATAGTAGGGATTCAGCGTAGTGGAGCGCCAATGCCAATTGACCTGCAAATGAAATTAATTGAGTTATTTACTCTCGGAATAATCCACTTCTCCGTACCTCCTCCTTTGTGTAGGTCGAGTGCAAGTAATGATTGAGTGCGGTTATAAATGCGCCTGGTGCCTCGCACAGATGCAGCGTATTCAATTCCGGTTGCTTGATCAATGGATAACGATGCAGACACTCGAAGAACTTGCACCAAGCTACCTGTCAAGCAAAGAGTTGGTAAAAATAAAATCACTCAGTCAGTAAATCCCACTCACCGTCACAAACTCCGCTTTGGTTTCGTTTTTGAGTCGCCAGGAAATTTCGCCCGATGGATCACGACGATTCGTATGTGTGCTCCACTCTTGTACGCCATAATTATTCAATTTGCTTTTCACATTGTTGAGTTGTTCCTTTAGCTCCTGCAGCGATTCGTATTGGTAGAATTCGCCGAAGAGCGGCTTTTGTGCCGGCAGCAGCCAAGCCTCGTTTCTCGGCTTCTGGTATTGAAATTTCTTTTCAAACAGCTGCTCCACCTCCTCTCGAATGTTTAGTTTGGGACGCATATTTGGCAGCTCTTAAGAAAAATGACTTTTTAGTTTTTCTTAAAAAACAAAATCCAAACAGCAGAGTTAACAGCGCGAATTGTTAACATTATCAAGAACTGTTATTAACAGTTTGAAGTGATAACGAAATTGAAACTATTAATACAGTAAATATATTTTCTCTTGTTATTTCATTGCATCAGTTTAACGTAAATTTCAATTAATCATTTAATGTTTATTTATATATTTCCATTTATTTGTTTAATGGATGTTATTACCAATTTGAAATTAACAGATAGCTACCAGCTGTAAATCTATCGATGGCTATCGACGTGCTGTTAACTACAGTTGCTTGCTTACAAGCAACAGTTGGCAGCGCGATACTTGAGGCGCCACAATTCAAATTGAAGTCTATGTTTCTCTTCAGTCAACAAGTGCTATTTTAATTATGATAAGTCAAATACTTTAAAAAAAGGAAAAACATATGTGTTTTATTTATACAAAGAATGTTTTGTTTCTTCTATTTGTAGTAAAATTTAAATGCTTAAAATTTCAAAAGGATTTATATTGATTGATGTTATATATTGTTGATTGTTTTGAAATCAACTTCTATTCCTACGCTAATAAAATATATATTATATTTAATTTCTTATATTGGGTCAGAAATGCATTGTGGCTTTGATGGAATTAATTGTTTTGATGCCTACATCAAATGCATTCAACTTTCGTCACTTCGTACTAAATAATACAATCTGAATTCCTTATTATGTGGTCTATGATTTATTCGATTAATAGTAATATGTAAAGAATTATATTTTACAAATGTTTTAAGTATATATTAAAACTAAACACCATTTAGTTTTTATTGAAAATGTTTCTTGTAAATACAAAATTCTTTTCCAATCAGTTTTCTCCAACTTATTTCCGCTTAGCTTGATGGGAATCTTTCTATTTTTCCCATTGAAAATTAGTTTCCCTTCCTTTCATAAAAATATTTCTGCATATATGTGCCTAAAATATGAAATTGGTAATTAAGAGAAATTTCTACTGTTCAGTTAGTGCTGGCATATTAGGGATAACTATAAAAAAAGAAATAGAGAATACGAAAATGAATAAAGAGAGAGAGATATTATGAAACAGACAAACGGAAAAGTATTTATGGATAAATCGATGGTTCGCCCGATGCATATAAAGCTGTGAATTAATAGAAAACAAATTGACTCGCAAGCGGAAATTGAAAATATGGGTAAGAAAAAAAGAAAGAAGCAGAATAGACAACGGTACTTTGTTAAACCTAAACCCATATGCCATATGTGAAGAAAGGGTTTTAAAGTTAATTTTTGGATATCGAAACCAAAACCAAAACCGAAAAAACTCTTTGAATCATTGCGATGATGTCCCAAACTTTGGAATTCAAATTGTTTCTCTTTTTTTTTTTTTCTTTTTTTTTTTTTTTTTTTTTTTTTTTTTTTTTTTTTTTTTTTGGTCACTAAATTGGCGCGTGAGCTGCCGACTTTATAGCACTTTATAGCGAAACGAATCAGGCGACGACGTGTTCATATGAATAATAATATTCAAATTATTAAACAAATGCTTACGAATCCAAATGCATTGCAATAGCAGAACAAAAGCCACTACAATATCTTTCCCAATGGTATACACACTTTTTATATAACAACTATATACATATAAGAGCTATATGTATGTATGTGTGTAAGTGTAAGTCGGCAGAGTTATATAGTAGAAGGCAGCTCTTGGCTTGGCACGTGACTGTTTTATCTAATTGGCCATAAATACATGTATGTAATGTGCAGAGAGCTCCACTTGGCTACAGTTTACTACGAAGGTCTGGTCGGTCTGTCCGATCCGTCCGATCCGTCTGCGGCTCTTCTTTTCCAGCTAGCTCTCTATTGAAGTCCCTGTCTTCGGTTACGACTATGCATAGCGGAAGTAACGCCCTGGCTAGTGGCCAGTGGGGCTTGCATTCAATTGACTTTTTGGCTTTGACTGCAACAACAGCAACAACAACAACAAAAATTACCAATACGGCGGCAGTTTGTCGGACCCGAACGTGGACACGGCGGTTTTTTATATTTCTCTCGATTTATTTATTTTTTTTGTTGGCAACAAAATTTTATTTTAATTTCATATTTCTCTTGCTCAAAAGGGAGTTCATTAATATGCCGAGCAGGCGCCATTGCGCTAAAAACTCAGCTCTGAGCACTCAGCCAGCGTCAGCGTCAGCTACCTGCCACTGTACTGGCAGTCTGTACACACAGTGTGCGTATGTGTGTGTGTGTGTGTGTGTGTGTGCGTGTGTGAGCACCCCCACTTTGCATAGGAGGTATTTAAAGCGTGTGTATCGTCTGCTGGCAACGGGTATCAATCCCCGTTTTAGACAACATTTTTATTGTATTTCTTCTTCTTAAACTTTTGTTGAGCTGCACATCACACACACGCACACACGTGCACATAAATTGAAACTTCTTCAATTGTCGCTTTTGGACTTCTAACCGTGCCGTCGTCGTCGTCGTCGTCATTGCCGTCGTACTCGTTGCTCAGAGCCGAGGTGTGGTGCTAAGCTCGACTCATGGCTTTCAAATCAGTTGCCAATTAGTCTTCATCGTTGACGGATTACAATTGTCTCTGCCTCTTGTTCTTCTACTCCACTCTATACAAACACTCATAGCAGAAATAACACAAAATAACAAAAAAAAAAAACTTGTTAAGTGCCTATCAACAAAAAAAATAAAAGGGAGAAACAACAATAATAAGAAGACAAAAACAAGCATTTCATTGATAAAAACAAAAAAAAATACGCTTCGTTCATGCGAAATTACAACAACGAATTGATTGAAGTTCTTAAATTTGTGTTTCAAATATATATATAATCTATATTTATAAATATCTCGGTTTATCGCATCTATTGTTGAATTGGCAAGATGTCGGCATAGCTGACGTTTCAAAGCGCATTGTATAGCGCTATGCTGCATCTAGTCAGTTATTCAATGGAACAGTCATCATTTATAATGAATTCATGCAATGTTTATAAATGTTTTTTTTTAGTGGTACTCGAAGGAATTCAGTAAACCAGCAACAAGTCGTTCCATTCTCAATTGCTTATATACATTTAACATTATAAATATATGTAGTTTCTATTTAAATTTAAACTTTCTTTTCAGCACAGAAAAATACTCCCAAGGATACTAAGCCCTTAAAGGTCCTTTATAACACTAATCAATTCTCTCATCAAATCAACTTCAGGACGTGATTTGTAATGCAGGATTTTATGGATTGAAAACTTCCTCACTCCAAGTTCTATTGCCACATTTTAATTTTTAAGCAAATTTTTCATTGGAAAAGTTTGACTACTTTTGGAATTTATATTTACTTGATAAACATATTTTTAATCAATATATTCAACTAATTAATCAAATTATATATAATAAATGTAAACATAATCTCTAAATATAGCCCATTGAGTTTCTTTTCTAGACGCAACTGTTTGTCATACACAAGCATTTCACAATAACAATTTTGACATTTATAGCACAATAGCAATTGGGCAATTTGCTGTGACCACTTTATAAGCAAAATAATATAAAAAAAAAAAAACATTCGACAAATGTAAACATTTGAAAAGTAAACAGAGTAAAAAGCCCGGAATTCAATAAGCTTATGAGCTCTTAAAAAGTTCTAAAGTTGGCAGCGCCATTTTTTTGAATTTGCAGCCGTTTGGCGATATCATTTTGCCGCACTGCTTACTATCGATATTAAGCTAGCTATCGCAACAGGGCTGTTTTTCGATTAGCTTTGTCACTGTAAAAAAAGTAAACAACTGTAGAAGAGGATTAAGTAAAGCTGGATAATCTACGTAAAAACATTTACTTTAAGTGATGGATAGTCAAGTAAGTTTAATTTATAGCTCTATCGATACTTGAAGCACTTGCAACTAGAACTGTCATGGTATTGTTGTCTATAATTAATACTTCACACAAATGTGTTGCGCTATTTCGTTATCTGAGAGTGGCTTTGTGATAAATCTGCCAAATATTTACACATACATACTATTTGGACAAAACAATAGGTATTAGGGGCACAGACGGCCGTCAATGACGTAATTAACATGGCTGAGTAAATATTAGGCGCAGTTATCAGCTTATCGTAGTTACTTTTTACTTTTCGTCGAGTCTAACTAAGAGTGGGCGTTGCTATATTTTCACAGGCACCGATTGATGATCTATTATTGGACATTGTGGACAATGCTTGGCGCATGGAAGCACTGCCATACGATCAGATACTAGTACCGATTGAGAAATTGCCCGATCCAGAAGCCGATGGTGGTGATTCACATCTAACTTTGAGCGAGCAGGTGAGCAATAACCCAAAACTGATTGGCCACATGTTCCGGTGTCATAAAAATCTTTTGTTAACAGGAACAAAAGTGGACAGACTTGGCGCTTGGCTCGCTGGCACCGGATGCTGCTTTAATCGATCAACTCAATATAACAGCTATCTAACCAAGGACGAGCAGCCTCTGTGGTGGCACGTCCCCAACTTTACTAATACCACAAATCTTATTTATAACACCCCAACATGAGTAGCAGTAGCAGCAATAGTCACAGCAACAGCAGCAATAGTAATAGCAACAGCAATAACAATTCAGTACATCAGCATCTGCATTCGCCCAGTAAACTAACCGAATTCGCGCGTAATTTCGAAGATAAACCAGATTCGCTATTTGGTCGAGTGGTTAATAAAATCCAAAATGTTTATAATCAAAGCTATAACACAGTCAACGATATATCCAGCGGCACGAGCAGCAGCGTCCAAGTGGGCAAATCCAGGTTCTACGACGAACGCAAATCATCGAACATCGACAAAGGCACTTCACACTTGGACAGCGACAACACACAGAACAGCTCGTCAAGTAGTTTGAATGCAGTTCGACCGCAGCCCCCAACAACGCTGAAGTTGCGTAAAAGCAGCGAAAGCCAGAGCAGTAGCACGACAACAACAATGGACGAGACAGCCGAAGCCAACGAGCGTGTCGACCAGCTGCCCGGTGAAGCGAATCAGGTTCGCACCGTTTCCAACGTAGTCAAACACATTAGCAATATTGTTGCTTCGAAGAATAATAATGTGAGTGCAGCTGGGCAAATGAATATCGTGCAGATTATGAATTTAACCTCTGTTTTTATAGGATTTACGCAACTATAAGAAAACGGAGCTGCAGAAGCTGTGGATGCCCGACTCCAAGGCCAAGGAATGCTATGATTGTGCACAAAAGTTCACCACATTTCGTCGCAAACACCACTGTCGGCTTTGCGGGCAGATCTTCTGCTCCAAGTGCTGCAATCAGGTGGTACCAGGCAGTATTATACGCTGCGAGGGTGATTTGAAGGTGTGCAATTACTGTTCCAAGATTGTGCTCACCTCTCTGAAGTCCTCCAGCACGAACATGGATGAGAATATGCAGGCATTGCAGCAGCATTTGAGCAACAAGCTCGAGGTGCAGGATAATGCGCCCAGCACTCTATCTGCCCAGAAGCAGCGCGTGCAGCTGTCCAGAAAGACCTCGCTGGGCTATCAGGAGGAGCGTTTCAGTTCGCAGGCGAACTATACCATGTTGTCCATGGATGATCGAAAGTACATACTGCAGCAGTCCAATTCACTGATCACCCTGCACGAGGAGATGCAGCGCGAGTTGCCAGTCCAGAACTGTGGCCAGCTGCTCATCGAGTTTCTCAATACGAACAACAAGTCGGCCAACGAGGTGCAGGCTGTGGCCATACTGAATGCCATGCTGGCGGCTGGCTTCCTCGAGCCAATCGTGCCCGATGCCGAGCAGACGGAGTTCGATGCCACATTGCACTACAGATTTGCGGAGTTGCCGCGTCCAGGCGCGAACATGGCTCCTGTTTTAGACACAGGCAACGAAGGCCCCAATCCCATAAGTCCACAATTTGATAGCAGTGTGGAACCGCAGCCGCCCAAATCCATGGATGTCTCCTTGAGCTTTCAATCCGCCCACGATCTGGAAATGGAGAACGATATGTGCGCGACAGCAGTATCGACCAAACTGCTGGAATCCTACTGCAACCACGAGGAGCAGCTACTGGATCAGCTGTTGCGCGCCCATCAACTGGATGCCGAGTGGGGAAAGGTGCTGCAAACGCTCTGCTCGACGGCTGCGAATCATTTCAAGCCCGAGTACTGCACCAACGATCTCATGGACATACGTAACTATGTCAACTTTAAGAAGGTGCCCGGTGGCAGACGCAAGGATTCAGAGATTGTGCATGGCGTGGCATTCTCTAAGAATGTCGCCCACAAGGATATGGCCACGCGTGTCGAGTTTCCACGCATCCTGCTGCTCCAGTGCCCCATTGTCTACGAGCGCATTGAGGGCAAATTCGTGACCATTGAGACGGTGCTGCTGCAGGAGAAGGAATACCTACATAATGTCTGCAAACGCATCATGAAGTTCGAGCCGAACGTGGTGCTGGTCCACAAGAATGTGGCTGGCATCGCGCAAGACTTTCTGCGCACCCAAGGCGTCACCTTGGTGCTCGACGTGAAGCTCTCCGTGATGGAGCGGCTAGCGCGCACGCTCCAATGCGACATAGTCAGCTCCATTGAGTCGAACATTACCATGCCCAAGCTGGGCTACTGCAACAGCTTCCACATCCGCAACTATGCCTGCGGCAAGACCCTAATGTTCTTCGAGAATCTGAACAGTCCGCGTGGCTACACCTGCCTGCTGCGCGGTGGCAACAATGCGGAGCTGACGCGCGTCAAGAAAGTGGCCTCGGCGCTGCTCTTTGCGCGCTACAATTGGCGACTCGAGATGTCGTTCCTGCTGGACGAGTTTGCGCAGCCGCTCGCACCGAAGCCATCGATATTCGACTCCAAGGAATCCAGTCCAAACGCAGAGAACGCTGCCGAGGAGCAGCTGGAGGCGGAGCCGCAGTTGCGCTCTGTCGTCAAGCGGCCATTGGCCGAACGCAAATCGGACGAGAAATTTACGGCCGCCGTCAGTGAGAATGTGGCCGACTTCACGGATCCGCTGCGCTCCTCGCAGATCGAGTCGGTGTCCAGCTCTGCGTCCAACATCAATGTGCAGGCACTGGAGGTGGAGATGCGCTACGACAATCGCTTCCGCAATGCACTCAGCTCCACTGTGTTGTCCGTCAGTCCGTTTCTGACGTTCCCGCTGCCGTATCTGGAGACAGAGCAAGGGCGCAAATGTAAACTACGCAAACTGTTCCCGGCCGAGCTGTATTTCTCCAAGCAATGGTCCAAGTCAACTAGCGCTGTCGAGCGTCCCGATAGCCTCGAAACGGATCCACTGAAATCCAATGCCGAACCGGGCAACAAGGAGAATGAGCAGCAGCTGCTGCCCGCGCACGATTTTGTCAAAATGAAGATCACAACGCCGGTGACAAGTCGGGAAATACAGACGCTTCTGGCTGAGTTTCGCTCCTTTGGCGGTCGCTTTCCCAAAGGCAAGGCCTCGAGTAAGTGGTCAAAGAATGCGCAGTTTCCCATTTGATTCTCTACTAGTCTCTTCCTTTTGCAGTGCTCAAAAAGAAGAAGAAGATGGGCGAGGTTATACAGCGTCCGCAAAAGGTCACCGATGAGCAGCTGTACAAGGACGCACTCGATCCACAGAATCATCAGCGTTTGCCGGTGCTCTTCTGCAGCTTTCACAATAATCCGAAGGGCGTATCGTCCTTCTGCAAGCTGCCCATGCTGCTGGATATGAAATTCTATGGCCAGCATGACATCATGCTGGAGCAGTTCCTGCAACGGTACTGTTGCCTCTTCAACTCAATGTGCCCGTCGTGCAATCTGCCCATGCTCGGTCATGTACGTCGCTATGTTCATTCGCTGGGCTGTGTGCATGTCTATCTCACCGATGATTTAACGCGATCCGATCCCAAGCGCATCTACTTCACCTCCTGGTGCAGCAAATGTAACGCAACGACGCCTGCTGTGCCGCTTTCGGATGCAGCCAAGCGGCTCTCCCTGGCAAAGTATCTGGAGCTGCGCTTCCACGGCCACGCCTACGTGCGACGTCCGCTCACAGAGCCGGGCAGTGGAGCCACTGAGCAGAGCAGTCCCTGCGAGCATTCGCTGCACCGGGACTATGTGCATCACTTCAGCTTCCGTGGCGTTGGCGCCAAGTTTCAGTACACCCCTGTCGAGGTATGGGAGACGGAGCTGCCCTCACTGACGCTGCAATTGGAGTTGCCCAAGCCATTCATTGGCGTCCAAGTGCAGGAGGAGATCAAGAGCTTCTCGATACGTGGCCACGAGGTATATACGCGCATACACGAGCGTATTGCCGACCTGGCCTCCGAGGAGGAGAACTCACCGTTGGTCTCCACGCTGAAGGCCACACTCACCAAGGATCAGTTCATATTCAAGCAAAAGGTGGAGATAGTGCATACGCTCCTCACGGAGCAGACGGTCAACTCGTATGACATAGCCGACGCCCTCATCATGGCCAAGCGTGTGCTGGCCGAGAACATTGAGCTGTGGGGTCCGCGCCTGCACGAGATCGAGCAACTAGCCCAGAAGCATGCCAAGCAACCGCATCACGTCGATTCTGGCACCATATGCACCGAGGAGCTGCGGCCGGAGCAGACGGACGCCGTTGCCAGCCAGGAGCTGGCGAAGAGCAAAGCCAACAGCCAGCAATCGGATGGCATGGCTACAGTGGAGTATTCCGGCGAAGAAAATCCAGATACGGACAAGAAGCTGACCGTTGACCAGATGCTGGCCTCAACAGTGAACATGAAGAAGACCATTAAGTCACGACTACTCACCCTGCGTCAGACTGCTAATAGCCAGTCGAATCTGCTGCAGAGCCCGTTCTCTCCGCAGGAGTATCTCACCCTGCCCATGGGCTCCATACCCGTGGTGGTGCATGAGAACGATCTTAGCTCTGTGATTGCTTACAGCCTCACCTCGCCGGAGTATCAGCGCTCTTTGGCTGGTCTCAATGCTGGCGACGTAGCCAGCGGCGATGCCCAATCGAGTCCGCAGCCAAAGCACAAGCAACTGGACAGCGATGCGGACGAGCCAGTCGCAAGTGTTGACTCCGAGGAGCGCATCAAGGCGAAAGCTCAGTCCCAGCCACAACCCCAGCCCCAGCCTCCCAGTGCACATGTTACGCTCACCTTCGGGCCCAGCAGTCAGTTCCAGTGCAAGATTTACTTTGCGCGCGAGTTTGATGCGATGCGCGCCAAGTGCTTGAGTCCGCCCAAGCTGGATAGGACGCTCTATCGCCGGCTGGAGAAGAGTAAGATGCGCGAAGAGCTAAGAATCTCACAGAATCGCAACGGCTCCGACATCGAAATCGTCCGCAAGCCCAGTGATGTGTCCGGCCTGCCGCTCAAAGAGCAGTTGGACGCCGAGGAGGAGTCGCGCATTACGCTGGCGCGTAGCCTCTCCAGCAGCGTGCAATGGGAGGCACGTGGCGGCAAATCAGGCTCACGATTCTGCAAGACATTGGGTGAGCACCTACCGTACATCCCTTCTCCATTCGAAGTTCTCTAATGTTTGCTCCCTTCCAGATGATCGCTTCGTACTTAAGGAGATGGGCAAGAGGGAGATGGCACTATTTGAAAACTTTGCGCCGGAGTACTTTGAGTACATAGCCAAGTGTCAGCAGCAGCAGCAACAGCCCACATTGCTGGCCAAGATCTTTGGCGTCTTCAAAGTCAGCATTAAGAAGAAGGAGTAAGTGATGCCAACTATTGGCATCCATGTAAATACTAATTGTCTCTCACCTGCTCTTGCAGCTCCTTTGTGGAGAAGTCGTTGCTGGTTATGGAGAATCTGTTCTATGGCTGTGATATATCCGATAAATTCGACTTGAAAGGCTCTGAGCGCAATCGCCTCGTCGATCCCACCAATATGAATGGCGAGATTGTGCTGCTCGACGAGAATCTAGTGCAGAGTAAGTGCAGCAAGGGTCAGTGCGATGATGGCGGCTAGCTAATAAACCAATTGCCTTGCAGTGTCCTGGTCAAAGCCGTTGTATGTGCTGTCGCACAGCAAAACGGTGCTGCGGGATGCCTTGCAGAGGGATGCCTCGTTCTTGGAGCGCAATGAGATCATGGACTACTCCCTGCTGGTGGGATTGGATGACAAGCGTAACATGCTCGTACTGGGCATAATAGGTGCGTCTAAATCAACACACATTGCTAGAGTTTCTTATGTATTTATTTTCGTTTCTCCCTCAGATTATATACGCACGTTTACGCTGGACAAGAAACTGGAGTCGATGCTGAAGCAGACCGGCCTGCTGGGCGGCGGCATGGGCAAGCCGACCATTGTGGCGCCGCAGCCCTATAAGCAGCGCTTTATTGATGCCATGGATCGTTATTTCAACATCGTGCCGGATCGCTGGGAGGGGCTCTCTAAGATCTGACAACTGAAATCTGCTGTTGATGTCACAATAATTAAACCAAGCAGCAATTCGTTAAGCTGCTCAACAAAGCACAGTTAACATTGATTTGATAAAACGAAGTAACACGATGGTTAAATTCACATTTACCCTTAAATAGACGACATGTCCGTTCGACAATTGTTTTGCACTTGACCTACATGGGCGCCCGGAAATGGCGCCCAGTTCATGACAATTGAAAGTCGAGGCAGTCGCGGAGCTGTTGCTTTTGTTGTTGTTGTTGCGTGTGGGCAGTGCGGAAATGATTTATCCAGATTGAAAATTGCGTTGCGAATCGCTAGCGGGGTGGGGGCAGTCGAGCAGTCGTCAGGCGGATTAGGACAGCAGTGCGACTTCATTACGGATGCATGCAGGACACACGCGAAACGCTGACAGCCAGCAGCTGAGACCCAATCAATTGCATTAAGCCATGAAATGGCATGTTCTTTGCCTCCTGACTGACTGACACCTACAACAGCGTGATTCGCGCGCACCCAGGGACACACAGCACAGCACGCACGCACACACACATACACACACACACACACACACAAATGCAAACACAGCTGGCAGGACTCGTGCTTCACATTGAAAGTTTTTGGCGTGTGAAGTTGTACATTGGCTCAGTTGGGATTTACGATCCGTGTGGTCAAGTCGTGCCGTTGGCGCTCGAACAGCGCGAGGCATTTGGTTAGTCGCGCCGGGCCGACGTCTTCCTCTGCCACCTGGACCTGGACATGGACAGTGGCCATCGAGCCTTAAACCCCAACATGCTTACACCCAGACATTTTCAATTTCTGGTTCAAGTGCTGCCGTGTGCCAAGTACTGAAAAGTGAAAAGTGAAAACTGTAGAGTGAAACAACAAGAATGGAGTGGAAAGCCAGCGATGGGTAGAGTATAAACAAGACGCTCTCTGCGAATATGTCCATTGTGGGGTGCTGCATGTCCATGGCCTTGGGCGATGCACTCACGTTAACATAATGCCGCATTCATGTCTCCTGCATTACGTATACGCCCTGTGGCGTGACATGCAAATGTTTGCTAAATGCCGCCCATAAATCTATATAATTATGTGCAGAGAATTGCGTGTACTTCTCGCTGTAGGCATTGTTATTGTTGTTATTCTCTCTCAGTGCCGTAATTGCCAATTGATTAGCATATTTAAATGGGCTTTGCGTTACGCCTGCGGCGACAGAGTTAAAAATAGCACAACCCTTCAAAGGTCATTTGGCATTGTCAAGATTAGAGCACTACTGGACGGACTACTTACGAAAAACGAAATTGAAAAGAAAACAAAACAAAAAGGAAACGTGGAACAGGTCGACATTCAAATGCCCTTGCTGCAACTGAGCTGGGTTGAAAGAATATGAGGTAGACATAAAAGAGAACTTGTCCTTTGTAAGAGGAGAGAAGAACTAGATTCTATTATCTGTATCTCTTGAAAGTTTTATAAATTCGCTTCTCTGAAATCTATTTGATTAACTAGATTTGGAATCTCTGAAATTGGAACTAATGCAAAAAAGATTAAGATTATCAGCTTTCATTGAGATTTGCTGCGATTTTTAGTACAAACTTCCACTATTCCAAAATATGACCCAGTCTCAGGATTCGCAGGGCATTCGCAATTCGTTGCTTTGGCACATTTCGCCTCTCATTTATTACCTTGAGGTGGGCGGCGAATTGGGTCAGCCTTTTGGCACTCTGTTGCTATTAAAAGTTTTGGGCTCGACATGATTTGGGCGCCTTTCACACTCGCAGCTGGCCGCGCTGCAGTTGCTTGCGTTTGGGCTTGTGTCTGTTTCCGTTTCCGCTCCGCTCCGAGCCAGCGCAAGTCACGCACGCAATTACAGTTGCACTTGACAGCAAGCCGTTTCCACGATTCTATTTTATTTTTGGCCACCAACAAAAAACTGATACTGAGCCGACGTCGAGCACGATTTTGATTAGAAACCATAATGCGCTGAGTTGAACATGCGAATTTATTTGTAAGTGCATTTAGTATGCATAACGAAGTTTGGATCGGTCATGGCAGGGTGAGGCCGGAGCAGGTGACTTTAAGGCAGGTGCATGACTGTGATATTACCTAGGTAAAGGTTTGCTTTATATTCTTTATATGAATTATAAATTATCATTGGGTTCATAATCATCAACATCGAAATATATATTATATTCTTTATATGAATATATAAATTATCATTGGGTTCATAATCATCATCATCGAAATCAATCATTATTATGAGCATGTTAACTAATTAAATTATATAGGTTTACTTTTCCCCTTGCTCCTACCTTTTATTTATACCTAAAAAGTTAGAAATAAGTTCCTTTTGTTCTCTCTCTCTCTCTCTTTCTCTCTCCCTCTCTCTCTTTCTCTCAATCTTCGATCCCCATTGTCTTTTACTTATCTCTCTCACGCAACCTTCGCCTCTCACTGACTTTCTTTGTTTTCTCTCTCTTTCTATCTCTCTCTCTGTTTATCTCTTTATCTCCCTCTCTCTCTCTCTCTCTCTCTCTCTCTCTCATTCTCTATGTCTCTATCCAACTCTCTCTCTCTCCAACTCCGGCTCCTCTTAATCTACTGCCCATATATGCATATCAATTAAATGCCATGATATCATCCTAAGCTCATTCGCTTCGTTTGCTAAGTCCTCCCCTCCCCTTCCCGCCTTGCAGCTGCCTGACACTCTTGGCATTTGCGCGCAGCGTTCCAAGTTAAGATTGATGGTTTTACACATCGGAAGTTCAAAAAATAGCTGCAAATGCATATACATATGCAAATGCTGCGACCATTAAATATGCAAATGTGCCAGCCATAAATGAGAGCAAGAACAGCAACAGCAACAGCAGCAGCAACTGGAGCAGCCCGATTGCAACAGGTGTGCATATTTCCATATGCATGCGAGGCAACGGTCAACAGCACGATGGAGTGGGTTGCTGTGGTGTAGAGTGGTGTGGAGTGGAGTCTACACAGGCTGTAATTATCCACTTTTAATGGCCAATTCTAATGAGTCCTTGGCAATTGCAAAAGCAAAACCTATTTCCGCTCTAAGGCATTGCTCAAGGGGCAGTTGAGCTACGTGCACTGTTTATGGCTGCACTCTACGCAATTGACATCTCGTGAATATTCAAACACAAACATTTTCCAATTTGTTGCAATTTGCTTTATTGTCTGTTTGTCTATTAGATGTTTGTGTGTGTGTGTGTGTGTGTGTGTGTGTGCCTAGCAACACATGCCAGCAGGTGTGTCAAGTTGCTTGTATGTGTGTGTGCTTGTTGTGTGCGTGCTGGCACGCTATGAAAACATTCCTTCAGAGGAGCTCCTAGCTAGAAACTTAGAAGGCGCATTGGCCGTATTATTCATAGGCTAAGCCATGCTATCACAGCGACTATGTATTCGTCTCTGCTTTAATGGAATTGGTGGAGTATATTGATCCTTAGCATATCTATCTCCATCACCTCTCTCGCATCCAAATCCCTGACGTGCCCAACTCTCACACGTCTGACTTTCCTGTTCACAGCAGTTTTTGGCAGTACTCCACATAGGGTATCTCTTAGTTGGGCACGCCGATTTCTAGGCATTTACCCGTAGCATATTTGTGCTTTTGTTGGCATTCTGTGCGATTTAATTTCGATTCCCTGTTATTTGGTTCCAATGGCAACGCCAACGCCAAACGTAGCCAAGGCTCCCACTCCCTGGCTGCCCCGCCCACCCAGGAATTGTGATTTTGCCAGGCCAATTTCTGGCTAACAATATGTTCTGTCCGCAGTGCCGAGGCGGAATTCAACTGGAGCCGTTCGTTCTCGGAGCCAGACCTAGCAGCCAGCCAGAGACACAGCGATCGCTTCACAATCAAACATCTGCACGAGCATCGCGCCGTCGATGATCTCAAGTTCTTCCGTCGCCGTCAGCCGTTTCCGCAGCACACGCACAGCAACGTCTGTCTGTATGATAGCGAGGCGCCAGTGTTGTCCTTTGGCTCCTTGAAGTCCGAGTATCGCAAGCACTATTGTTGCCAGGGCCACGCCTACGCCCACGCCCAACCCCGAACACTGCTCAGGCGTGCCACATCGCTGCGGTTGGAGGGCTTGATGCAGCTGCTGTCGGAGCATCAGGATAAATATCACTGGTATACGCCCGAGGATCTCAAGTAGTAAGCAATTCTCGCTCTATATATCTGATTATATTCATATAATATATGTATATGTTGATGCCGTCTCCTTCAGTTCGCGGACATTTCCCGTGCGCAATCCGGAGAACCTGCAGCTGGGTGGCGCGAATGAGCCGGTGGTAATGAAGAGCTCTTCGTATCTCACCTACCCCATGGTGGACAACGGTGCTGAGATACTGCCCCGGCAGATGTTTCGCGACGACAAGGAGCAGCCATCCAATCGCTTGGCCAGCGACAAGTTCAAGCGTGACATAGCCGCCCAGGAGCAGCAACGCTGTCATCTGCAGATGCGGGCACAGGGCACACAGTACGAGCCGACACCGTCCGAGTATAAGCGGCAGTTCGTGGAGCAGTTTCCCATCGAGAAGGCGCACTCGATACCGCAGATCAGCAGCATCAAGATGCAGGGCGAGTTCCATGCGGTGCCCGAGTACCAGGACAGCTTCAAGATGTATGCCAACTACTCGAAGAGTGCGCCCATCAAGAAGCACGACAATCTGCGCGTCTCTGGCAGCGAGCAGGAGCAGCGGCTGCCCATGGAGAGCGGCAGCGATTTGCCCGAGTATCGCGATAAGTTCAATGTCCCACCCAAGCACATGGCCAAAGAGAAGCCCCTGAAGACGGACGATCATTTGCGGCCGCGTGGCGAATTCACCAAGGAGGTGCCCGAGTATTATGAGAGCTTCCGTGATCCGCACATCACCGAGATGCCGGAGCGTGGCAAGGTGCGTGAGCCGTACCTGCGACTACGTGGCAAGATCGAATTCAATCCAGAGTATCGCAACAACTACCTGGACTTTCCACGATCGCGGCCCGTGGTGCGCAAGCCGGTCTCCTCATTTCGATTGCCCACCAGCAACAGCAACCAGAACACTACCAACAACAA